ATGCGCATCGGTGCCCAGAAAAAATAATTATTCGGCACCGGTGCGCATCGGTGCCCGGAAAAAAAATTATTCGGCACCGGTGCGCACCCGTGCACAACCAGTGCCGATAAAATATTTTTTTGTAGGGCTGCTGGTTTTAACAATCTAATTGATCATATTGCTGGTGCAGTAAATTATATATTCGAACATTTACCTGGAGCAATCGTTATTGTCATTACTTGTTTGCTCTCATACGCGTCTGTTAATAGACACAGTGATGTCGGTATCACGATGTTGAATGTGATCAATTCCTGTCATCAGGATTTAAAAGAAGCTTCACATGAAATATGATCATATGCAACAAGAGCATTTACGGCTTTATCTGAATCCATAACGATGGTAAAAATCATCGAATTGGCTTCAATCGGTCTTCTCATAGTAAAAATGCCCGATGTATTTGACTTTTTATTGAAAACATGGGCTAAATCAGCTAAAATTTAGTCAGAAACTGGTTGATTGTATTTTTATTTTCTCATATATGTTTAAGTAATAAACGTCGTCTGATTCTTTTACAGCATCTATTTTACAATTTTTTATGTTCGAATTTCTGTCCTCAAAATTGTTCCAGTTTCGATAATAAAAACAAAGCAATCGGTGTATATTCGAAATTGAAATGAAGATTGACAATGATCGAGAACTGACTTGTTGAGTCGAGTGAGGAATCGAACTTGAAGAGACATCTGAGAGAAAAGAAAAGAAACATTTCGAATTTATTTAACAGAAATCGAAAGAATCTGAATATCATCTAAAGGTTTATCAAACCTGTCTGTTTTGACTTGTGAAAGCGGGTATTAGTAAAAGACGCGAACATCCACGAACACCCAGAACAAAGCGTAAGAACACCCAAAAAGGTGTGCCAAATTCATCTCCAGGCTGTTTTGGAGAGTGAAATGTGGGGGTGAGGGTGAGGTACTTGTAGGCTCAGAATAGTCTGGAGATGAATTTAGCACACTTTTTTGGGTGTTCTTACGCTATGTTCTGGGTGTTCATTGAAAATGTATGCTTAAACAGCGAAACTATAAAAACTTGGCAAAAAAATGGCAGTTTAAACTAACTCAGATTGAACTAGGCCAAACTGAGATCAAGTAGAATATGGATTCACTATATAACTATTTAAGAACGGAACACAAGTGAAGAGAACATCGATAACAATCGAAAAATGGATCAATTATTAAAAATTGACAAGGTCATCATTGATCAATTATTCCATTTAATATAACTGGTAGTGTATTAGACGAACTCGGCAGTGTCAAAGATGGAAACAATCGGTCTAACATTTTAATTTATGATAATAGGAAGATTTGAAAAAAAATGAATTATCATTCGCTGTTGTGATCACTATCGGATGAGCAGAATATTTTATTTTATCAATATGTGTTTGTCGCCGGATCGAAGAAGGATGCCTAAAAAAAGATAAACAAAATCAGAAACAGCAAATTATGAAAACAAAATGAAGAGACGGCATCATTAGATGGTATCGAAAGCAATAAAAAACTGAGTGGATATCGCGGCTATACCAATGGAACTCTTGTTCACTTTTTTTTATTGGGTAAATTATTAATAAAACTTCCTAACTGTATTCTTATCAGTTATGAGTGAATATTTTATGTAGATGAATTAAAAAAAGATATTAAAAATCAAAAATCAAATTTGATAAACAATTTGAACAATTAAAAGTGACATCATTAACGTCAAAAGTAACATTGACAATTGGAGATTTAACTCAAATTGATCAAATTACAATTAAAAAACCAGAAATTGAAATGAATTATGCACAACAATTTCATGTTAATGATTTAGAACGTATTTTAAACACACCAGTACCCGATAAACAATTTCAAGCAGAAAATTTGACAACAAAATTTCATCTAATGGGTTCATCAGAGGAATATTTATTGATTGCAACTGAAAAAATGACAAATTGATTATGTTTAATCAAGAACAAAAAATTAATGAAGTCGAATGGGATTATGTACAAGATGGATGCATAAAAGGTATACACCAATGAAACAGAGGCAATAGTCTGGTTTATCGTTTTCTTTGTTCATTTTTTTTCTTCCTCTCTTTTAGGTCTTGAATGGTGTGATTATTTAAATTTATTTTTGATTATATCGCATCATTCATTGTTCACATTCGATTGTTTAACTCATGAATTAACCGAACAATGTCGTATTCGTCAATCTGGTATTAAAGCATTATGTTCAATAAGTGTATATCATGAACATTTATTTTTTAGAAAATTTCACGCTTTTAAAAATAGAATTAAGAAAAAAAATGTTTTTTTGACTATTTTTGAAGATAAATCCCTGCTAAACAACATTGAAACAAATGACAATGAGTATACAAAAACAAAAAATTGTTCTAGAAAAAGTTTATTGTCTATTGGACAATGATAAATAAAGTTGTAATGATGTTAATCCAACGACACTTGTAAATAAAAATTTAGAAAATAAGACGATCCATACACCAAAACCAAACGCGTGCATTAACACTCTAGAAAACAAAGAGAGACATAATTAAGATTAAAGTCAACTGACTTTTCGTATTAGTACCATTATAGTAAATTAGCAACATATTTTCTTAAATTCGAATGTAAAGTGCAGGTAGTCACCTTCTGTTTTAAAAAAATAAAATCTTTACTATGATTTATAACGGAGCGTAAATTGTAACTTAAACTGTAATGATGGTGATGATGGAATACGTCTGAAGAGGACATCAAATCCAAGATACATACCGAATTTACTAGACGACTATGGATGATCAAATAAAAAGCAGGATCAAAGTATGAGACTGTGTATCACTAACTTAATGATAGAGAACACTAGTCGGGTGCCTACTCGATTCGATCCTCAGTTCAAGTATATTTTGCAGTAACATCTTTACAATCGTTTATTTTAAACAAGATACAATGGCAGTAGCATAAAACATGTTCATATTTTACTTACTCGATAATCAATGGTCTATAGCAGCATAAAAATAATAGAACATTGACAAATACAACAATATGTCTAATCCGGAACAAACTCTCAGAGAATGTTGATCATGTGAAGGAATAGTTGCGATTAAATTTTGAAGGCTCTACCAACTGTCGGTCAAATAAGGGCTGAAACGGGGCATCTACTACT